ACAGGGTCGAGTTCTCTCCCACCCGGGGAGAATGATGGGGACATCCGGACTCATACACGAGATTTTCGCCGAGTTTATCAGCGCAGGAGGCGCAATATTTCAGCACTATGGTTTTGATTTCAAGTTGTAATAATTAGTTTGAATTTTGAATTTTTGAATTTCGAATTTTGATTTTATTTGGTAGTTAACCAACTGATTGATTGTAATTGGTTAAGAGAGAGATTTGAGGGATTGAGAGGATTTTCCAAAACTGTAATTTGCTTTATTTAAACTCTCCTGTAATCAGTTTGGAAAATTACTGATGAATGAAATTGATTTGCTAAATAATGGTGTGAAACCCTAGCTTATTGATTTTGATCAGCCGTCAATCTCTTCACAAAATAAAAACAAAAGAAAATCAAATCCGATACTGTTCATCTTCTCCTCCAAGCAAACAATCAAACCCACACAGTCCTCCCCTTACAACCGCAGCAACCACACCCGAAGACCACCGGACCGCCGCCCTCCTCCGTCGACTCCAGCAATCACCACCTCCTCCACCGACGGCCTTCCCCTTCGTCCGCCTCCGGTGTTCCCTCCGCCCGAATCCCCCGACGCGAGCAACCACCGCCATCCCAAATCCGACCGCCTCCCCTTCAAATCCCCTGCAACCGCACCTGAACCATCATCGCCGACGAAGTCTTCGTCTCTCCCCGCGACGACGACCAGCCAGCCCAGAATCCTCGAGCTCCTCGTCCAGTCCCGCCCAGTCAGCACCGCCGCCTGGACCGCCGCTCACTCCGATCCGAGCGCCGTCCATCCCGACTCAAGCGCCGTCCTCATTCGTCGAGCGTCGATTCGTTCCTGCTCCCCCTTTTCCGCTTGTCCTCAGATCCAGATCCTATTGAAGACTATTTGGCTTGAGTGATTTAAAGCAGAGTCCCTATTCACTCAACCAACCCATTTGATTTGAGTCAAGTGTGGACCAGACCCACTTGACCCAATCCGGAGTTGTTGAAGCTAGTTGAGTCAGATTCAACCATTTGATCCCTGATTTTACAATTGATGGTGTATGGCAGATCCTGATGCAGATGACGGAATCGTGCTAGATCCAGAGACCGGCATCGCAGATTTACAGCTTTCCCCGTGGTTTGATTATCAGTCATTCGAGAGCGTGCCCGAGTACGTTGAGCGTGTGACTCATCAGATCGTTGACAGCGTAGAGAGTAGTTTGGGAATCAGTTCGTGGCATCGGCGTTTCCATCCAGATACACCACTCCATCCGAATTACGCCGCCCTCGGTGGAGAGCTTCCACCCCTTCATATTTGGCGTCGTTGAACCACCTCCAGAGGATCCTCCCGTCGAACCAGTTCAACCCGACGAAGGTTCAACTTTCTTTCGCCCAATTATTTTCGGAACTGCTATTGCTTGCATGTTGTTATCAATATTACTATCGATCGTATTTGTGCTGTAATCAGTTTGACTAAGTGAGCGAGCGAATCTGTTGCTAAGTATTTTTACTTATCCAAATATTACACTTTGAACTGTATTGAGAGAACGAATCATTACATTTATTTTCTGGATCATTTACAAAGATTTGAACTTAGTACATTGCAACTTTTGCTTAAAACCCATCAAAAGCTACACTTTATTCATGAGCTTCCTGCCTAGATCGATCGCTGATTTGGCGAAGCATTGCTGTTGTTAATCTTCATACCTGCATCACATTGTTTCGCATCAGATTGTACTTGAAGTTAAAAAATTTGGTATTGAATGAAAATAACTACTTTATTGAAAATAAAATTGACGTAGTACAACAACTTGAACTCATTTTCTGAAATTACATTAGACATAAAGAAACTTAATCCTCGGCGATGGATCCCTTGAGCTGCCACAGATGCTCGATCAAATCATTTTTTAGTGATTTGTGTGTTTGCGTGTTCCTGATCCGATAATGATTTTGGATGAACTCAGTTAGAGGCACCGTCTGCACATGAGAAGGTTCAACGACTGGTACCGAATTAGTAAAGTCGAAGTTGTTGTCCAAACCACAATCTCGTTCATCTTCAACGATCATGTTATGCATCTTCATGATGTCTTTCAGTTAGAGGCACCGTCATGATGTCTTTCAGCACACAAGGTTGTCAGAAACGTCCTGGTCCACGAACAATCGCAAATCGAGCTTGCAACACGCCAAAAGCTCGCTCAACATCTTTTCTTACGCTTTCTTGTTGTTGAGCAAAGTACTTAGCTCAACATCTTTTCTTACGCTTTCTTGTTGTTGAGCAAAGTACTTATGCTTGTTTCCTCGAGGTGCTGAAATAGTCTTCACTAATGTGGACCACTCTGGGTAAATCCCGTCGACGAGATAGTATCCTATATTATACTCATGGCCATTGACAATATAGTTGCACGGTGAAGCTCTTCCCTCCGCAAGTTGTGTGAAAACCGGTGAACGATGTAGAACATTACGGTCATTGTGAGACCCCGGCAGTCCAAAAAAGACATGTCATATCCAAAAATCTTTGCTAGTTACGGCCTCCAAAATAATTATAGGTTCATGAAAATATCCAGTATACATACCTTGCCAGGCAGTTGGATAGTTCTTCCATGTCCAGTGCATGCAGTCGATGCTCCCAAGCATACCAAGAAAACCTCGTTGTGAACCTTCCTCGAGCAGGCGTGCAACATCTTCATTAGTCGGTGAACGAAGGTATTCCTCTCCAAAGATGTTGATAATCGATCGAACGAACCTCTTCACGCTCTCAAGCGACGTACTTTTACCGATCCGAACGTAGTCGTCAACGGAGTCAGCGGATGCTCCATATGCGAGCATCCGCATAGCTGCAGTAATATTTTAAAGACTAGATAGTCCTAACTGTCCAGCACCATTCCTCTTTTGGACGAAGTACTTGTCATGTTCGACGACTACGTCGTGGATTCAAAGGAATAACGAACGCGTCATTCTGAATCTTTGACGAAAATAATAAAGAGGATAGGTTGGTGCGTCAGCAAAATAATCTTGGAACAACCGATTGTGGCCTTCCAGTCGGTTTCGATGGAGCACGATACGTCTTTTGTGTTGAACTGAAGTTGAACATTTCTCTTGTTCTTCTTCCTCAACGACAGCAGCTCCCATAAGAAAGAACGTCTTCATCATTTCATCATCGTTAGAGCTAGATGAGCTAGACATTTTGTTCTGGGAGATGATGGGTTGAGGAGAGAAGCCATCAAATTTTATAGAAATCAGTCGGTTGACGGTCAAAGTTTGCGATACCTCGAACTTCGTGCCCAACCTCGAAGACCGTGGGTTACCTCGAAGACCGTGTGCGTTCCCTCAAAAACCGTGGGTTACCTCAAAGACCGTGTGCGCTCCCTCGAAGGCCGTATGCAACGGTTAGAAATGAAATACAAGAGGTTTAAATATAATTGAAAGTAATGGGTAAAATATTAAAATAAAAGAGGGGTTTTTTGATATTGTTGGAGCTCCTAACTAGGAACTTGTTGGAGCTCCATAAAAGAAGGAGGGCCTCCCAAGGCTTATTTTTTTAATTTTTTATTCTAAAATGCTTGAGAGATCTTGAAAGCTTGCTGACTAAGACTCTCAACTGGGAGCTTGATGCGCTTGCTCTTATGTCTCGTTAAAGTTAAAGGAATTGCAAAGGTATTGGTAAATATTAACCTCACCTCTTTACTTGTTTTTGTTTCTATTCTTTCCAAAGAATTGTATGCGAAACATGAAAACATCTGATGTCTCTGTTCTGGAGATAAGAACCAAACTAAATGCAGGTTTAGAGTTGAAACTAATCTTGGAAATTTTCAGGTTTAAGCACTATGTAGTATGATAATAACGAAGGTCCAAAAATAAACAGTACAAGAAAAATGCCAAAGATAAACCTAATTGCAGATAGAGGTACATTATGATGACTATTGCCTGTTGAAGGTCGTGATTGATAGGAGAAAGAGGACAATCAACTTGCAGATTCAGAATTAATGAAGATCAAGCGTTAAAATAAATCTTTGAACTTTTCAGGCTCCTAAGTTGCAGTCCAGTGATGGGAAAAGATGCACAAAATTTAAACACTAAAATGCTAAGTTAAACTGCTTGAACATAGAAGTAGAATACTGAAATGACTTTTGCAGCAATGGCATAAGAGAAGGCAAAAGAGGTGCAGAATGCACGGTGTGGGTATTGGTTTTTACTTACTTATAATTTATTGGTGGGATGTTTTTTTTTGGGGGGGAGGGGGGGGGGGCNATATGGAGGGTAAGTCACTAGATATATGATCCCAATTTCCATATGTCTTATACATGGTTATGTATACAATATCTATATATAATATGATACAGATATAATAGCAGTTAAATATTCCACATATACGAATACATGTCCAATATCTATATATAACATGATACAAATATAATAGCAGTTAAATATTCCACATATTCGAATACATGTCCGACATTACTGAATTTATCCAAATGCACATATTTCAAGTACATCAAAGCATGATGTGATATATTGGTGAAAGAAGGCAAACTCATATAATCTAATATTTGTTAAACATTTTTGCATAAACAATTTTAATTTTAAGAGTATAACTTCATTTTTCTATAGGATTTTAGTTATATCCAATTGAATACCTAACAAACATCTAAAGCCTGATGCAAATCTGAAGTTGTACCCTAGTAATTTTGAGATTAGATGCTTCTATCCGCTGCCACTAAACGAGCGTAAATACAGATATGGTAATTTCTAGATTCATTTCATACACGAGCCAAATGCACTCATTCATCATTCAGCATTAAGTACACTTTAAAAGAAGATAAATAAACAACTAGATTAGCAAATAATTCGAAAACAAGAAAAAACAACAATGTATAGCCCTGTGTATAGTATCATAACTCTGCAACTGATTTACTGGCCACATTGTTGAGTTACAGCAGACCCTAATGTGGGATAACTTCCACTAGGAAAATCACATAACAAATGAACATGCGAATCAAACAATGATCATACCTGTCAAAAAGCTTCTCCATTGTTTGAAATTGCTTTTCTGATGAAAGGAGGGTTTCTCTAACACTTATCAGACTGCTTACAAATGATCTTAAGGAATCAAAATCCCGCTTTACACGAGAAAGCTCCTGTTCATTTTCTGTGGCTCGCTGCCTTTGCCTAGATGTTTCTTCTACCATTTCTTCAACCTTCTGCCTCATTTCATTCAGTATACCATTCGTACCCAATGCAAACTGTTCCATCTCTACAACCTTTGCTGACATGTTGTCAATTTGGAGTGTCTTCCTTGCAATTTCTTCCAGACCCAAGGTAACTTTTTGTTTCTCTGAAGCAGCTTCAGTTTCTGCCATTATAACTCTCTTAACTAGAGACTCCATGACATCTGATATCATATGAATTGATTTAAGAATTTCACCAATATATGCTCCATCATTTGCACCAAGCAAACCGACATCAGCATTATTTGCAAGTAGAAGTTCCTCATCTGTACTTTCATGCAAAGAAAGATCAACATCCTTTGACCAATCCGATAATGGTACCCCATGTTTGTCAATAAGCCCTATCCCTTCTTGATGTTTGATCCCACATGAAGTGTATGCTAACTGAGGAACGGCCATAAGTCTTGCCTTTGATTTCAGGTAAGTGAGCAATGTTGCAGCAGTTTTTACTCTGCGCCAAAGAAGCTCCAATTCCTTTTTCCCATCATTTTCAGAGCATTGCATGCTTAATTTTACCTCCATAACCTTTTCTTGTAGTTGCTCGATTTGAGATTGTTGGTGCCCCAACTCCTGCTCGACATTGTTTTGACTGAGCTCACACTCTACCGTCAACAGTTCACTTTTCTGAATTTCATTCTCCATAACTTCAGGTGAGAGGGTTCCCACACAAGAACAAGTAATAACTGATATATAAGAATAAATGTTCGGTGTAAGGAAAGCATATGTTTAATCATGAACCAATTTTTAATAATATGTCGTCATTTACGGCTATTTTTAAATAATGCAGAGATATTTAAACCACAGGTTGAAGTCAAGTAGACAATGCAAGACAATGAGAAGTATTCCATGGATTTGTAAGCTGAGAGGTTACGCATAAGGGACTCAGTGAAAACCATAACCTTCCATGACTTTCTACTATAGAAACACGTTTTTATTTGAATTAACAGGTACATGAGCAGAATCATCAACCTAGTAGATAGACATAAGCGCACAAGACAGATCCAACTTCTTAAAGATAATTATATCACCTCTATGTTCTTTTTGTAATACAACAATAAGATAGTTATAAAACCAACAATGTTTTATAAATTAGACCATTGGGCAGTTACGAAACAACATGTGCAAAAAACATTGTAGCAAAAATGAGAACGCTACGATAGCCTTGTGGATATACACACTGACATCGAATCAGAAATGAGTCCATTTATAAGAGGTTAGAATTGTTCTTATTGAAGATAAATGAGAAAGAATCAACTTAGATGGTTTGATTATGCAAATGAAGGTCACTAGATATACTAGAAAGGAGAACTTACAAGATTAGTCAAGGAAGAAAGTGGAACGGAGGTAGGCCTAAAGATGGATGTAATTAAGAAGAATATGTAAAGTTAGTTTAATGGAAGAGATGGTCCTTGATGGAACTAAATGAAAAAATACAACTTAGTGTATCCGAAAAAATTGGGATAAAAGCCTTGTTGTTATTGTTTCTGTTATTATTGTTGTATCATATGCTCTTAGTTCATCATCGTCAAGAACAGAGTCAGAAACATAACTGATGCGGGGGCACATAAATACTCAAAGGGATTTTATTCACAATATTTAAAACTAGCAGGGGTATATTGAAAGAAAATAAGGCAGCACATGTCCCTTTAGGATCACTTCTAGCTTAATACTTAACCACACTTACTGTATTCTAGGCGAACTCCTTTACTACATTATGGTAGATCTCTATCCTATGAGGACTTCCTTCTCAGAATTCTACACTAACACTACTAGTTGTCCAAGATAGGAAACCAACAGCCTATATTTCAACCCCAGTCGGCTCATACACAAAGCAACACACCACTAAAGTGAAGGAGGCCCATGGAATAGATATTTTTCATGCCTGCGTTTAACAAAATGTTGAGGAACAAAGGTGGAGCAAGGCTGGCATAATGCAGTAAGAATGCAGAGGAGGTGCGGGTGAAAAAGGATAGGCCAACCAAGCGATGATGCGAGGCTAGAGTGGTCTTTTGATTGCTACCACTAGTAATGGAATCAATTGGGTTTCTTATGCATGAATACAACCGCAATCGCAATCTAACTCCTACCACTCTGCTACCTCTCTTTGATATCCTACAATGTATCTACTGTGGAATTAATTCAACATAATGGTCTCTGAAAGTTCCTTAATCAAGAAACAAATGTCAAGCTTCAGCATTAGAGGTTAAACACAAACAGGACAGTACTTCATTGATCGAGATATAACAATATCTTCAATCTATTACATACAGTAATACCTACTGCCTAAAGTCCAAGATTTTGAGATAGTACTGTAGCAATACCCAAGATGTCTACATTCTTCAAGTTAAAAATAAATTTTACTGTGGCTTTTTTTTTGTATTTTTGGGAAAAAAATTTAATAATTACATAAAATAGTTTACAAATTATAAGAATTAGCATCATCATCAGCAGAAGAAGAAAGAATCACAGATAGAAGTCAAGAACTATAAAATTGCTTTAAAATTCAACAAAAAAGCTACCTTTATTGACGTTTTAAGGTGAAGGGATCGACGGAGAGTTCGCCGGAGTTGGTGGAGAAAACCGGCGTCGGAGTTATCGGAGCGTGGCGGGAGATCGAAGTCTAGGGTTTTGGAATTTGGGGAATGAGAAGGGAAGCAAGAGACGCAAGGGAAAGCGAGATTATAGAATTCACTCAATGAACAGGATCTGACCCGTAGAAACGGGTCTTAACCCAATTAAGTTCATACTCGGCCCACTTTTAATGCAGATTGACATCTCCAAGCCATCCCTACGATCTCCTCTGCCCCTTAATTATTCATATTTTGTGTTTTAATTTTATAGATTAGAATTTAATTAAATATATATTATTTATAAATAAATAATTAATTAAATATTAATGACTAAAATTAATTAATTAATTAATTTAAATTAAGAAATTACCTTATATAATCATTAAATTAATTAATCATATTAAAATTTAACAAATAATTAATTTATATAAATCATGTTAAAAGTTAAATATTATTTTAAATTTAAATTCATATTATTTTAATATTAATTTTATTTAACAATAATATCTCAACGATCATATCTCAACAGTCGTATTATAACGTTTATTTCTTTGGTCATATATCAACGGTCATATTTAAATGGTCATATTTAACTGTCATATCTCAGCGGTCATATTTTAACGGTTATATTACAATGGTCGTTTTTTTAATTAAATGTGGTCACTCCCTCTATAAATAGCTCTGCCAGTGTCTTTTATTTTTCACTAAATTCAAATTCATTCAGTTTTTTTAACCCAATCTTCAATATTATTTATGGCTAGTAATTTGTTACGTGCCTTGCTACAAGAGGAAGAGGATGACGACGATGATGATTATGCGACCTTATTAGCAATCGCATCTTTGGAAGAGAGGAAGAGGATGACGACGATGATGATTATGCGACCTTATTAGCAATCGCATCTTTGGAAGAACACCACGCCAGCGAAGGTCAAAGTTCATGTCGTCGTGGTTCCATTCCAGGGCGCGTTGTAATTCAACGCAATAGAGCTAAAGGTCATGAGAGACCTTTTCATGATTATTTTAGTGAATCTCCTGTGCATCCTGCAAAACTATTTCGAAGGAGGTTTTTAATGCATCGTCCACTATTTTTGCATATTTTATCCGCATTGGAAACACATGATTCCTACTTTGTCCAGAAACGGGATGTTGCTGGGAAAATTGGTTTATCCTCACTACAAAAAGTAACTGCTGCTATGAGGATGTTTGCTTATGGAGTATCAGCAGATTCTGTGGATGATTACGTGCGGATTGGAGAAAGCACCACTATAGAGAGTCTCGACAGGTTTACCAAAGCAATTGTTGCAAATTTCAGTGATGAGTATCTAAGGTCACCAACTAAAGAGGACACTACAAGATTGCTAGCAATTGGCGAACAATGGGGATTTCCTAGGATGTTAGGAAGCATTGACTGCATGCATTGGACATGGAAGAATTGTCCGATTGCGTATCATGGTATGTATACTGGTCACATCCACACTCCTTGATACTTGTGTATCTTCTTCCTTACTTCGAGAGCTTAGCGATCCTCATAGGAGCTTGAGGATAGACGATTCTCATGGTAACTTGATAATAGAAGCGTGTGTAGAGCCGTTGGTGACGGCGAAAGAGGTCAAAGATAGGAAAATGGCAAGAAAAATAGGAAGCAGGCAAGCACTCTGGCTGGTCGACCAGGCTTCCAACATCGGTCGATCGCGAAGGCCAGACCGGTCAACAAAAACGGATACGCCTTCAGGGTTAAAAACTCTCTCTCTCTGGATGGTTGACCAAACCAAGCAGGCTGGTCGACCGGATCGCATTTCCTAGGTGAATCTGGATTCCTTTTGACGTGTATTCTAAGTTCCATTAGGCTTGGTTATTTACGATTTTGTCATCCACATTGTTAGACATATAAATAGGGATTGTTTAGGGTTTCTAAACATCAAATTAACAGAAGATAGATTCTAATCAAGAGATTAGGGTTTGGAGAGAATAGAAAGATTGTTCTTTATTCTAGTGAGATTATGAGAGAGAGATTTTGTAATATTTTATTCTTCATAATCTAGAGAATGTATTTTTCCTTCGCCAATTAAATTGTTTTGTGTGTTTTACTGTCTTCTTCTCAAAACTACCTTTGATAATTCCATGATCAAAGGTGTTCGCACGACGACTCGTATCAAGTTGGTATCAGAGCAATCAGATCATGTGAAAGGGTATCCTGTGTATGGTCCTTACTCGATCGTAATACAAGAAGCTAGGCAAGATCCTTGTGTCTTTAGAAGAAGTCCAGAAATCAAGGAAGAAGAAGATGACAGAAAGAGACAATTCATCAAGGCTTGATGCGATGGAAAAACAGATCATGACAATCAGTTCGACTCTCATGAAGCTCGCCGATCTCATCCACAGAGGTGACAAGAAGGGTGAATCTTCTTCGGGGTCCAAGAAGAAACCAGTACGTCACGCCCCGCTTCCCAAAATACCGAGGAATCGGAACGTGAATAAGCCCGTGACATATTAGACTGAGGAGAAATGTACTAGACCTTCTACTCAATCTAATGCGCTAAGCGTCAAGCAATATAAAGCGAAGTCACTGGTCCCCGATCACAGTAGCAAAAATATAATAAACAACTCAGAACCAAAAGATACATATCACAACTGAAATAATCATCCAAACATAATATTCGGGCCAAACATGCTCTTATACAAAACTATCTGAATGAAATGCTAGAAAAATATAAAATACATCGATCAGGCAGAAATGGAAAGTACTGCAAAAGTAAACTAGGGTCATCAACTAACTAAAAGGGTAACTAAGCTTCGACTTGTGCTTCTGCTCCATTTGCAAAGCCTTCCTGCGGAGGATCCTCTGGCTCCTGTACTACTCTGAAATGTAGCTGTCCATCCTCTAAATCTGACGTACATCCTGAGAGAAAAGGAGTACGTCAGCGTGCATGGCACACGACAAGATCTTACAAGGAAGAATAGAAACAATCGAACGACCAAGGCAATAATAGTAATAATAATAGAAGCATGGCACTAGAATTCTAATAATCTAAATGCAATTCACTACTATAATAATAATAGTAATAATAATAGAAGCATGGCACTAGAATTCTAATAATCTAAATGCAATTCACTACTATAATAATCAGAGTAATCCAAAAATCAATCAGGCACTAGAATTCTAATAATCTAAATGCAATTCACTACTATAATAATCAGAGTAATCCAAAAATCAATCGGGTAACGAGGTCATGCAGCTAACGATCACAATAATCATCCAAGTAACATGGTCATACAACTAGATGGAATTAATACTTAAAAATCTATAACTCGAGACGTAGTACGTTGAGTGAAATAATCCAAACAACAAAATCCTCATGTATATATCATATGTCTCAAATTATAGATAATTAAATATTAATTCCGATCTATATATGAAAAAAATACAACTGGTTCGTATCTCATAAGAATCCATACTTAGCCAAGAAATAAGGTCATGTAACTAGTCATCCTATAACATGTCACTGGTTCATATCTCACACAGAGTCAACGTTCATATTGTCGGATAACTGACTGTTCACAAATCCCCTACGTGCATCCAGTAGGACTACACACAATCCGACTCCGGCCTGGGCCGAACTCAAGCCAACTCGGGTGAATATCAAATTTACGGACCAAAGTAGCAACACCGATCCACTTTGACCCAACAAACCAACCCCAGTGGCGACACCGATTCACTGGTACGTGCCCGGAAGATACATCAACAGCCTTATCCGATCACATGAACCATGACTTTCTCATCTCAACTCTTCTCATTTTGCTAAGTCAAGACAATACATATCCCTAGGTCTTATACACAACACACAAGAGCACTAAGGTCATAAACTCCTAACAGTTCTCAATCACAACAATAATAAATCCAACTAATCATGTGCAATAATATCATGACATATCAGATAATCAAATTTAAGAGTCATAACTTTATGAACAACCAACTATATAATTCAGAAAATAATCTTTTTCACAAGATAATTTATTTATTTAAAACAATCATTTTGCAAAATAAATTCTTTTAGTTTATTTCTCATTATAATAATCTAAAATATTATCTTTTTCAGAATAAATTCATTTAAATTATTATAATTATCTAAAATGATTCTTTTGCTGAATTAAATTTTTTTAATTCATTATAATTATTCTAAAAATGCTATTTATCATATTACTATGATATATTTAATATTCTTCATCAAATAATCACACACAAATAATTATATCACAACTAATCTATGTAATCAATAATAATAGATATGAATATTAAAATGACAAGTTAATGAGCAAGAGGGATCTTGCCTACGAGGCCAAGGGGTGTGGACGAGGCGGCGGTGGTCGAAGGGCTGTCGGAGTTGTACAGCGGTGACAGTGAGACGGCAGTGACAAGCGGTGACAGTGAGACGGCAGCGACGGTGGAGTTTGTTGACAGCTGCTGTGGAGAGATGCGCCGGGAGCTTCGTGAGGCGGTTCGAGGAGGGGGTGGCTCGGCGTCGGCAAAGCGGCGATGGAAGAGGGGAGATGAGGGAAGGGGTTGCAGGGCGGACATGTAGGGGAAGTGACGATCAGGAGCTTGGGGGTTGTGGTCAAGAAGGGGCGGTTCACAGGGGAAGGCGGTGGTTGTCGGTGGAAGCGAGGGTGAGAGGAGGAACGGTGGGCTGAGGCTCGCTGAGGCGTCACGGGCTTGAGCGAGGGGCTGACGATGGAGCTGTTCGCGATTGATCAGAGGTGGATGAGAGTTGAGTGAGGCCTCGCCTAAGCCGGTGGGAGATAGCTGGGCTGAACGGGAGCTACGAACGGTGAGCGAGGTGATGGTGCGCTGATGGGGGATGGCGGCGGCCGTCGCTTGCTGGGTGACGCGACGGTGAGTGGGGGTGGTGCTTTGGTGTTGGGTCGAGCGCGTTAAAGAGGGGCGAAGTTTGTCGGGTGTTGGGCTTGGTCCCGTGGATTTAAGGAGATAGAAGAGAGATGGAAAGAGATAAAAGAGAGTGATGTGAGAGTGAGTGAGAGAGAGAATCTCGTGGGGGATTTTTGGGGAGGTGAGAGTGAGATTGGGGGAAACACGCGGTGAAGAAAGAGATGCGGGAAACACGAGGAGGGATTTAGGGAGTGGGGTAGGGGGGGAGAGAGGGTGAGTTATCGTGAGGTGAGGGGGAGAGAGAGAAAGATATTGATTGGAGAGAGAGTGACTGATATGAGGGAATCAGGGGAAAAGTCAGATAACAGATTGACTGTCGTGCTGATTAGTTGATAGCTATAAATAGAGATAGAGGATAAGGGTTGAGGCTAAAAATTAATACAAGATAATTAATAATAATAATAATAATAATAATAATAATAATAATAATAATAATAATAATAATAACAATAATATATAATCAAATATTAATTAAAAGTTTTACCGTAACAATTAAAGTTATAATTAGTAATACCATTAAAATAAATATTAAATCGTATTTTAAATCATAGAAAATTCTAGAAAATTGGGAAAAATACAAATATTCTTTTAGAAAATAAATTTTAATATTTAAATACCAGAAAAATTATTTAAACTAGTATTAAAAATTTACAATCATTACATCCTACCCTCCTTAAAACAAATTCCGTCCTTAGAATTTAAAATAAGAGTAATGCACAAAGAACCCAATGACAGAGATATGAAATGATTCCATAAGCAGAGGAGAATGTAAAACAATAACGACACAAGATAAGATATAAGATGTGATAACTGAGATTCAGCATACAAATAACAAAGGTAGGCAAATACAATACTACAAAGCATACACTACACACAAAATTAACCACAACAAAACAAAACCAATACTAATCATTAAACTAATTTAACAAATGGTTAATAAATATACACTAGCATTAATCATAGTGTATAAATAAAATATAATCTTAACACAAACAAATCACATAATACGCAATTCGCATGCAACATAATAAAACATCACATAATTAATCAAAAGTATAATATGAAATCAAAATTAATGGAAGTACAGATAATTGAAAGGGCATGTATGAATACCAATACACAGAATCAGAAAATATACTTGATCAATCATTTTTAAAAGATATCATCGAGACAGGTAATGAGTATAAATAATAAGAATAAGGTAAATATAACATAAAGAGAGTGAACATATATTTGAAAGAGAAGAAGCATGTCTATTGTAAATAAAATAGTTGATACATATCAAATTATAAAACAACACAAACATCTAGGCACATGAAAAAATATAAGTATCAGTCAAACATATCATAATAGCAAAGAAGTCAACAACAAATATACAATCATAAAAAAATATAATGTCAACATGATATTATTGATATAGTATCATAAGACAACACATCACAGTGTTAAAATATAATCAATAACACAGAATTGGCGAAATATAACAAATATAGTATACAAAAATATGATATGAAATATAAATATATAATTCAAACAATT